GTGCATTTTCTGCGTGCCAAGTTTCTGAAGAGCATAACATCAACAGACACCATTTCTGCACTTTGGGACCGTCCTAGTGGTCCCCCCGACGAAGAATGGAAATTTTGGCAAAGCTTGGCCGCCACATGCCTGTCGGATACGGCAATTTCGGCCATACTGGAGGAGATCAGTGTTCCACAGCTGACCAGCTGTGATGGAGGAAGTCTCAGTGTGATCGAACGGCTTTTAGTTGAACACGATTGCGCGTGAGTGGTACATTTCTGAGTTGATTTACCTCTGACTCAAAATTTGAAGTGGAACGTTCAACGTCTGCGGTGCACTCTCTATCCGATATCTCAGCGGAATTCTTGATTTGCCTGGATTTTGGCTGGATACAGGGAATGTGCATTCCGATGTTGCTAAGAAGTTGTGTTCTGAGATGGTCCGCATCCTGAAGGACATTGGGGCTGACATCCTCACATTGGGACCCATTAGCGAACCGGACTCACCAGTCGATTATGATGGTGTCGACTTTCTTGCCACCACTGTCCTTAACGGTCTGTCCAGCTGGTTCGCCAAATATGACAAAGAGCATTGGGCCCTGCAACCTTGGTACACCAACTTTTGCACATTCTTGAACATATTACGCGGGCAAGTAATTTTCTCAAAAGATCTCTTCGTGACGATTGATTTTCGACAGGCCACGATCTGCTGATTTGCTACCAAATGCCTCCGCTTGTGCTACTGGCACCTTCGAGAATATCTTGCCAACGGTATATCGACATGCGCATGTGAATGTTGTAGCGGTTGTAGTGGATGTGTAAGCTACTTACGAATCCTGCACATCTGATGCTGATTACGCCGTGCAGACGCGAGGGGGGGGTACTGGAGAATGAAGACACCGTTCATAATGAACCTTCGCTCCATTTGAATTCAGCAGACAATGCTTACCCAGATATCGTGGAGGAAGAAGATCACGCAGAGAGTCGGAGCTCTCCGCAGGAGAATGATATCGACTCGCAGATCCAGAACGCTGATGCAGAATCGCAAATTGAGAACGCTGATGCAAAATCGGCCCGATCACCTAGTTCTGCCGGTATGGAGGAGGCGGGTTACGATACGAGCGTGCAGTGCGCGGACGGTGCGAGCCGGCGCGAGGGGGGGATACTGGAGAATGAAGACACCGTTCATAACGAACCTCCGCTCCATTTGAATTCAGCAGACAATGCTTACCCAGATATCGTGGAGGAAGATCAGGCGAGTCGGAGCTCTCCGCAGGAGAATGATACCGAGTCGCAGATCGAGAATGCTGATACAGAATCGGCCGAATCACCCAGTTCTGCTGGTATGGAGGAGGCGAGTTACGATACGAGCGTGCCGTACGCGGACACTGCGCGCAAGGGGAAGATTGGCACGAGCGCGGACGACGACGAGGAAGCTACAAAGGAGGAATGGGAGCTAGAGAAGGCGGAGGACAGTGATGCTTACACTGTCGCACATGGTGTACCAGAGAAAGGGAAGGAGAAGGAGAAAGAGAAGAAGGTGCGGAGGAAGTGGACGCCGGAGGAGACGCAGATGCTCGTGGACGGGTGTAATATTGTAAGTGCCTTCTTCCCCACGCTTCCTCCTTCTCCCCGCTCCCCCTTCTTTCCTCCTTCCTTGATCTTTGTACTGACGACATCCGCAAACAGCACGGCGTCGGCAACTGGAAAGCTATCCTCTCCGACCCCAATCTCTCCTTTCAAAATCGCTCGCCCGTGGATTTGAAAGACAGGTGAGTCTTTTCTCGTCGTGTTTCCCCTCCTCCTCTTGCTTTTTTCTCGTCGACCTTGCTTTTCTTTTCGTGATCCGGGCGGACTTTGTCTCTGTTCGACTTCTTTTATTCCAGTCTCTACCACCTGCATCCATCGATAATAACTTTTTGTTTCCTCGCAGATTCCGTACCTACTTCCCCGACGCCTACCGCACGCACTACCCCAACGCGTTGGCGCACCTCCCGCCCTCCCTCGCGGGCGCCGCCTCGTCCACCGATTCCGCCTCCCACTCCCCCATCGCCTCCTCCACCAACCTGCCCACCTCCTCCGCGGCATCCAAGCCCAACCGCTCCACGCATCCGGACGGCACGCCCCTTTTCCCCCTCCCGTCCTATGCGCACCCCAAGCGGCGCCCCTTCAGCGCCGAGGAGGACTCCGCCTTATTGGCGGGGTTCAGGAAGCATGGCGCGGCGTGGGCGGCGATCGTCAAAGACGCGCCAGTGTTTGGGGTTACGGGACGCCGGAGCATGGATTTGAGGGATCGATTCCGGAATGCGTGGCCGGGGGAGTACGAGCGGGCGGGGTATAAGGCGAGACCGCGAGCCGTCAAGATGAAGGAAGAAGATCAGGAAGGGGAGGGCGAAGGGCTGCGCGGGCAGGCGCGCGTGGGGCGCACGCAGACGGACCAAACGCACACTGCCGCCGCCCACTCGTCCAGCACGGCAGGCGGTGCAGTCAGGAGGCGCCGTCGCGCACACACGAGCCAGGGATTCAAGAGCGTGTCGATGCCGCCGAGCGTTGCAGGTTCGGACGACGAGGGTGCGTCGGACTTCGGTGGTGTGTTTGGCGTTGGCGCGGGCGGCGCGAGCTCGGGGTTTGGGATGCGCTTTGGGAAAGGGGGAGGGGGCGACTTTGATTTTCGATTCATGCCGGGCGCAAATACTGGGGCGGGGATGGCGAAGGGGGAAGAGACAGCGCTCGTGGGTGGGATGCAGCACCTCGATATGGCTCCAGCGGATGAAGCGATGCCCGACGCACCTAATGTGTCAACGCAGACCCAGGATACATCGTCCCAGGACCCGCAAACGCCACAAGACACTGTCGCGCCCATGCCTCCGCCACCGCCCCCGCCGCCCCCGCCAGCACCGAGCACGCTCTTCCAGGCACATTTCCTGCAGCAGCGCCGCGCGGAGGAGCTCGCGCTGGGCATGCACGCACACACGGGCGGCGGGGGTCCGACGATCGGGCGCAGCGCGTGGGGCATGCAGGACTGGCTCTCCGCTAACCCGCGGCTAGAGCTCGCGTCGTATAACCACCCGCCCGTGTCACACTCGCCGCCTCTGAGCAGTAGCGCGTCGTTCTCCACGTCCAGCCACGAGGGCGAGGGCGGGCTGTTCGAGCGCGCGCACGGGGTGATGGAGAGGTACGACTTGGAGCCGGCAGTGGCGCATGCGGCTGCGGCGCTCACGTCGCCCAGTGCGTTCGCGCTGGACCCTACGCTACTTGGGCTCAGTCCCGCCGGCACCATGCACCCGCACCGCGCTAATATGAACACGCTACACGCGACGCTAATGGGCCCGACTGCAGGCGCGCACGGGCCCGGGCATAGCGAGGCGATGTACGATCTCCCGTTTCTGGACCTTCACTATGGGGTGTACGGGCAGATGCAACTTGATGGGTGGCGTGGCGGGGAGGCGCTCGATCTTACACGGTCAGCGACGGCGGGAGCTGTTGGGGGACACCAGCCGCCGCAGACGGTGTCGCAAGCGCAGCCTGGTGGTCCGCCTCTGCCCGCGGTTTGGAACACGCTCGGCATCCCTGCGTCATTGAGGCATCACATTCCGGCGCGGCCGTTGATGAGGCGCGCGAGTGCAGGACCACCAGCCGCTGGGAACAGGCCCGGAGCTGGTACGAGCGCGAGTGGAGTTGCCGGAGGTGGTGCACATGCGCGGAGTGTGAGTCACCAGCGTGACCAGAGTGCTGTGTTGCGGCCGCAGGACTTTGTCCTAAATACCGAAGCAGTAGCCACCGGTTCTGGGACCAAGGGGAAGAGGAAGCGTGCGAACTGGGACGGCGGCAGGTAGTAGTCCGTACAGCGTTGCAATGGTATACTGTAGGCCCGGTGGTTCGGCAAGTGTAGAGTGTGTGGTCGTCCGTTTACGGTTTAGGTGGAAGGGTGGATTTAGGCAAGTGGCATAGCGGTACATCCTGTGCGCAGGGGCACGAGTCAGCGAGGATGAGAGGGAGGAGAGGGGAGGACGGGAGGGAGGAGAAGAATGTAGATAGGTACCGGAGAAGGTTCCCGCCTGCGTGTGCTTGTGAGTAATTTTTCCCAGAAGAGAGCAGGAGCAAGAGAAGAGCAAGCGAGGAGAGTAAAGGAAGTAAGAGACACAACGCACCAACAACACTCTCCCAACACGTCCCTATCGCCGCAGACCCAAAGTCCTCCCTCAACACCTTCCCCTCGTCGACCCACCCATGCCCATCCCCCAGATTCGCGGGCTGGGCATTGACAAGTTAGAAACTGCGCGCCGGGACGAGAAGAAAGAAAGGAGTGGGACGCACAATCCGAGTGCGCCGGCATAGCCGAGGAAGCCGGCGTCGGTGAGGACGGAGGGCGTCACGTTGAGGGGTTCGCCGCCGTGTCGACTCGCTGCGTCGTTGCAGGACTATTAGTCAGATATACAAGTACAAGATGTGGAAGAGCGCGCACCGTTATTGAGCATCTCCCCGCCCCGGATCCGCGGGTCGTAAAACTCTGGCTGGCTGGGCGCCGGCGCCGCGTGTGCGGGGAACGCGAGAGCCGCCGCCGCCGCCAACCACAAGGGATTCCCGACGGGGTGAATCGAGGGAGCGGGCAGAGTGCTGAGCACAGAGCACAGGGGAAGCACTGGAGACGGACACCCCTCGTCCGGAGCTAGAGGTATTTGTGCACGAGAATGGAAGTTGCACAAGTTTGATTAGCGTCAAACAGAATTGGTTCTGGACGTAGTGCGCAGCATTCTTCTTTTGAATGCTAGTCATCGAATATGTGGACCAGATTGCATTTGGTTTGTACAGTCCCAGAGCCTCGGAAGAACGTGCGCGTTGAAGGTGATCGACGTTGATGAAGACCGGGGTTCCGCGAGAAACGGGCAGCTGCCAATTGGCTTGGCACAGAGATAAGATAACACAGTGCATCGGAGATCCGGGCCGATTCCCTTGTCTCCAGTCCTCTAATACTTGGATCGCGGTGTAGGTTGGACACATTCGAGGACAAGACAGGAAGCCCTTGTGGATCGTGATGATCGCTCCTACTTCATCCTCTGAAAGTCATGGATGTTAATGTTCAAGGAGAGGCGGAGGTTCGAATCCTCCCGAGGGCATGGCCTATCCACCCCTTTTTTTTTCCTCCGTTGACATCCCGCTCTGTGAATTTAAATTCAAGTTAATTGGTCAATATCTTTAAGCTTGATTCTCCGGCGACGGTTTTCATTCCACCTGGAATGTGGTTGATATTCTCAAGGATGCAGTGAATTAGATTCATTCAACATGAGGGAAGGAAGAGGTGGAGGAAGCCCTCGTGGATCGTGGTGATCCCTCCTACTCAATGTGATTTTAGCTAAGCAAATAATAATTTGGGGAGAGGCGGAGGTTCGAATCCTCCTGGGGGCATACATGATTGGGTTATCCGATCTTTTTTCTCTCCGCCCACGGTCTGTCAAATTTAAATTCAAGTTGAACTGGTCAATATTGATTCTCCGGCAACAATGAAGTTCAATATTAATGGATCTTAAATGTGGTTGTTATTCTCAAGGATACAGCGTGAATTATATTCACTCGACATGAGGGAAAGAAAGAGATAGAGAAAGCCCTCGTGGATCAGTGATCACTCCTGCTAAATAATTGATCTGTGTTCGATGCAATTCAAGTCCGAGGAGAGATGGAGGTTTGAATCCTCCCGAGGGCATAGCTGGGTGACCAAGCTTTTTGGATTCTGGAAGCATGCGTTCCACATTCGTTTTATCACCATGTCGTACTAATGTCGGAACGTATTTGGATCTGGACGTAGTGCGGAGTGTTCTTCTTTTGAATGCTAGTCATCGAATATTTGGACCAGAATGCATTTATTTTGTACAGTCCCAGAGCCTCGGAAGAACGTGCGCTTGAAGTAACTTGAAGGTGATCGACGTTGATGAAGACCGGATTCCACTGCGAGAGACGGGCAGCTGCCAATTGGCTTGGCACAGAGATAAGATAACACAGTCCATCGGATATCCGGGCCGACGCCCTCGTTTTCGTTTCTATCCCGTATACTCAATGTGTATACCAATAGATCGCACTGTAGGTTAGATGCATTCGAGGACAGGACTGGAAGCCCTCGTGGATCGTGGTGATCGCTCCTACTTCATGATCGGGCGGTATATAATCTGTTTGAGGAGAGGCGGAGGTTCGAATCCTCCTGGGGGCACATAGCCCTGATGTTTTTTTATTTATTAAAATCCCTTTTGTCCTTCTCTCTTTCTCGCCTTCGGACTACGGGAATATAATGCACGGCTACGAAGGGAATTAGATAACCATGCTTTGGCGCCAAAATAGGGCGGTCGAATTTGATTCACCAGTTACTGTAATACTGCAATGCATTATAGTTGACATGCACTGTGAATTAAATCATGTTCTCACAAAATGAACCTACAAGCTGGGCATATGAAGCCCTGGTGGATCTTGCCGATCCCTCCTGCTTGATGCATGGATACAACCCATTCCTAGGAGAGGCAGAGGTTCGAATCCTTTCGAGGGCATCTGCTCGAGCTACACCTCCTTTTTCTCTCCGCCGACGGTCTGTGAAATTGGAATTCACGATGACCTATTCAATATCCTTCATTCTCCGGCGACGAAGTTGACTGGCCATTCTATATGATCTGGATTCGATGTCAATTAAATTAGATTAACTCAACATGAGGGAAAGAACAGATGGAGGAAGCCTTCGTGGATCGAGGTGATCCCTCCCGCTCAATGTGCATTGAAACATTCAGCCGAAAATCCTACGGGAGAGGCCGAGGTTCAAATCCTCCCGGGGGGCTACAGCGATGGTATGAGGGTTTTCTCAAAGAAATTCTCCCGGATGTATTTCTCTTTTCTCTCTCTTTCTTTCTTCCGACAGTGGGCCTGAGTAGGAGATGTCTTTGAGAACAAGTCTGTCCAAATTTAACCGCTTGATTCACAGTGATTCACAGTCTGGTTGAAATTTCCAATCTCCGTAAGTATTACAATTTATAGTTGAGATGCAAGAAATCCTAGGATGCAGTGTAGATAGACTCACTCAACATGAGGGAAGGAAGAGATGGAGGAAGCCTTCGTAGATCGTGGTGATCGCTCATACTCAATGCGAATTCTGCCGCAGGCAAGTAATAATTTAGGGAGAAGCGGAGGTTCGAATCCTCCCGGGGGCATGTTTTTTTTCTTTCTTCCTTCCTTTTTATCTCTCTTTTCTTTCTTCCCACAGTAGGTGGACTCTTGAGAACAGGTCCGTCCGCTTGATTCACGGTCTTGTTGAAATTCCCAATATCCTCAAATCTCCGTAAGTATTCCAATTTATCGTTGATGTTCAAGGATTCAGTGTAGAAGAATCTAGATAGATTTGATTAACCTGAGGGGAGGAAGAGGTGGAGGAAGCTCTCGTGGATCTTGGTGATCGCTCCCACTCAATAGCCATTGCATGAGCATTATGGGAGAGGCGGAGGTTCGAATCCTCCCGCGGGCATGACCCAGTCTGCGCATTGTTTTTTCTTTCCTCCACCAATGGTCCATTTTCCACTATGGAACTTTAATTCAGGTTGGACTGTTCAATATGCTTGATTCTCCGGCAACAACGAAGTTCAATATTAATGGATCTTAAATGTGGTTGTTATTCTCAAGGATACAGCGTGAATTATATTCAGACAATATGAGGGAAGGAGTAGTTGGAGGAAGCCCTCGTGGATCGTGGCGATCCCTCTTGTTAAATAACCAACCTGTGGTCGATGCAATTCAAGTCCGAGGAGAGATGGAGGTTCGAATCTTCCCGACTGCATACATAGTTAGTTACCAAGCTTTTTTTCTTCTCTGACGGCCACCACTTGAATTCAGGTTGGACTGTTCAATATCCTTGATTCTTCGGCAACGGTGTTCATTCCACCTTGACCGTAGTTGTTATTCTCAAGGATGCGGTGTGAGTTAGATACACAAGGAAGAGATGGGGAAGCCCTCGTGGATCGTGGTGATCCCTCCCCCTCAACACTATCCCTGCATTATCCTGAGGATCTTATGGGAGGCGGAGGTTCGAATCCTCCCGGGGGCATTCGCATTCCGGTAGGATCTTTTTTTTTTTGGCGGGCCTACACTGACGGGATGATTCATGAGGATTATCCAAGTCCGAGGAGAGATGAAGGTTCGAATCCTCCAGGGGCCAATGGTGGCCCCTTCAATTTTTATATATCCCGCACCAACTCGAATATAGAATCTACCCAGTGTGTTTTTCTCCGGCTGGTCGGCGGAATTCACAACCAATTTCCCAAGTGAGCTCGTTAGATATTTCAAGTCTGCGACGCGCCCTCGCGCCTGCTGCTGCTGGGAAGTCGCTGGCATTAGGACCTGCATCAGCGGTCCGTGCAACGCGTTCCCTGACTCAGAGGAAAGACCTGTCCGACGTATGGATCCTGGCGTGAGCATTTTGATCTGTGTTGCCGGACACAACTGATATATGGACTCTAGATGTGCACTTGACTGAAAAATGAAGGGAGGGAAGTGGATCTCGCTGATGTCGATCGGGTTTAGGAAATGAACGATGGAGGATATTCCTGCATGCCCCTACTAGAAGCTACCTTCCCATGCAAGTTTCAAATGCACCTTGAGACTGGTTCAACTTTGGTTCACCTCAACAGATGGCCATCAACGACACCGACAATCTTTGGTTTCGGCACACTCCCCGCATCTCGGCTCCGATCGTCGGGAGTCGGGGTTAAATAATGTGTTTCAATTCTTCCACGTCCCATTCTCTCAACTCTCGACCGAACTTTGACCCCAACATGGCCGTATCGATACTCCTAAACGCGGTACAAGGTAACCCATTTAGGATAACGAAGGTCCATCGTTCCCATACGCGAAACCATATCAACATCAGCCTGTACTAGATTCTCTTCCCTGTCGTTCACTTCACTAAGCGGTACACATCTAGGGGCGGCTCACATATCAGTCGTATCCGACAAGACAGGTGAAAATCCTCACGCCAGGATTTATTCGGTGGACAAGCCCTTCCTCCTCGGTGCATCGTCCGCTGGCGCATGTTCTACAGTAATGCCAGCAACCTCTTAGCAGCTGATACATGACTTAGCCCTGATCTGAATCCGATTTAAACTCGACAGAACTTCAACTGTCCGTACTGATGGGAGCAGTTACCTGATGCACGCATGAGGTGTTGGACATTGTTTTGCTTTTTTCCCCAACTATATCCAAAGGATCATGGGAAGTACTAGATGGACGTTCGAGGCACCCGAATCTGGCGTGCAAAATCAACTTTCCGATAGACCGATGGCAACCGGCAAGAAATTCCCGTGCCTCTTTACCTTTTTTTCTGATTTTTTTCCTTAAACCATTCTTCGTAAAACCGTAGACGATGGTCGCGGACAAGCCGTTTTTCTGCTATTCCATTGTTTCCGGTGCTTCTCCGTTTGGCCTTGTCACGGCCGACCTGTATGATCACAGCATGTATATATCTGCCACAATTGACAGCATGCCACGGTAAAGGTTCGTTTCTATTATGATCCACAAAGTCGTTTAAAACAAAGCTTCATCGCTTTGAGCAGACCCAAAAGTCCACTTTTCGCAGCTTCCGCACCCAACAATGCAGCTCAACCTGGCTCTCATCACATTTATATGCGCAGGATTTGCGGCTGGTCTGACCCTCCCTGAGGCGGCCGAGGCGGAGAAGCGTCAATGCGGGATCACAAACTCACAATGTTTCAACGTCAGTCCGCAGACCTGCTGCTCTCTTATGTGCTGCACCGGCACTTGTTGCTGCTGGGAAGTTTCTGGCATCAGGACCTGCACCACCGGTCCGTGCAACGAGTTCCCTAGGGTTGAGGAAGGACTCGTCGAACGTATGAATCCTGGCGTGAGCATTTTGATCTGTGTTGCCGGGCACAACTGATATGGACTTCAGATGTGCACCTGACTGAAAAATGAAGGGAACGGCGGGGAAGAGGATCTGTAGGCTGATGTCGATCGGGTTTGGACGATGGGGGTGAACGATGGAGTATCTTCCTGAATTCCGCGGTCATATGTTATTACAGTTTCAAATACTCGAGGTGCACTTTGAGACTGCAACTTTGGTTGAAGTCAAAAAGACGGCCATCAGAGTACCGGCAATTTCCGGTTTCAGCACGTTGACTCCGATCTGAGTGAGACTCAAACTTGCTTCTTTGTGGCTGCCGAGACACGGGTACCTGAGTTTTCTTCTCAACATTCATGCTGATACTCTCGCATGGCCTCCGCTGTTCTGGAAGGAACCATGCCCATTTTCCACCTGAATTGATTATTCTTCGCGGCAACTACACGGGGAAGGAAGGAAGGAAGGAAGGGTGTATTACTGCGGTGGGGCGGCGATCAAGGCATCTTGGATGAGTACATAGACGACAATTTACACGCAATGTCAAGCCTGTCGGAAACAACAGTTTTCTTGATGTTGGGGAGAGAAGTGATATTGAGAGTAATCCAGGAGTAACCCTCAGGCTTGTGTACTCGCCGGAACAAACCGGCACCCAGGTAAGATGCGTGATGACTATTTCGAAAAGGATGTACACACGTGGACCTGACCCCTCTCGCCCGACTCTCGCCAATGTCGTCGTTAGCAGCCAGCGCCGACGCTGCCGAGGATATTGATATGAACAATCGAGTTCTCCAGCCGCTGGATCCGCCTTTGAGTGAATGGCTTGCCCTGAAAAACCCGGACTCAAAACTCTGGGTTTCTTATTGCCCATTTCTCGTTTCTCGAGGCTACAGGCTCAGACCCCGTTATAACCCTGATTGGGTTCCATCCTGGACCCTGCCCGGAAATAAACGAAATGTCGTTGACTGTGAGAATTCTTTACAAGTATGGTTGGTGCATGTTGTTCAGTTTTCATCGTTGCAACCCCTGATGCTGTATTTATGTCCGAAGAAGGACTCTGTCCTCGATGGTGTACGGCTCAAGGACCAGCAGAAAGTCGTCTTGAAGCGAATTTTGACAGGCTCCCGGGAATTACAGATTCTAACACACCTTTCCGCCATACGCTCTAACCGCAGAAACCGGACGATTCTAATCCTCAATACCTTCCAGTATTCGCTAAACCCTGAATACACCTTCATTGTCATGCCCTATATGCGTAAATTTCATTATCCGCCATTCCATTGTCCCCAGGAATTTGTAGAGGCAATGCGTCAATTCCTCGATGT